GAAGAGGCGCAAGGCGTGGGATTTGGTCAGGAAAAGTTCTACCTCAGCCCTGGGCAGGCGGAAACGGAAAAAACTGCGTTTGGCACTTGGAGTGCTTCAAGGGCACCATTCGTGGAATTTCCAAGAAATAGCACTGCGCATACGAGAAAAGATAGCTATGACCTGGTATTGCCAATCGTGCAAAATTCAGAACAGCCAAAAGCACGACACATGTCGTGGATGTCAAGAGCACTGGAGCCGTGTGTGGAAGGAGCCGGTGAAAAGGCGTTCACGCAGCAAAAGCAAGGGAGCCAAGCAACAAGAGCAGCAAAATCAAAAAGACAGTGTCGCGGAAGCGTGGCAGGTATTTCCAACGAAAGTCCCATGGATACCAAGTACGCCAGCAACCAGACATGTGACAAAGCAAACAGAGACTCCTATGGGAACACAGATGATGGAGGCGGGCATTGTAGCTCAGCCGCCACTTCCTCTTCCAGCTATCTCATCAAAGGAGGAACCTCTGACAGACGAAGAGAAGAAAAAGCTGACTCATTTGCGTGGCTTGAAAACCATGGATGTACAACTTCCAGCAGAGCTGGAGGAACAGTTGGTCATTCTGGAAATGAAGGAGAAAGAGGTGAACAATTCCAAAGCCTTGTCTCATGGACACCTCAATCGCATGACAAAGATCAAGACCCAAATTGGAGCGCAATCCAAAAAGATCGAGGCTCTGGATTTGGAATGGTCTGCCTTTGTGAAAAATACGATGCAGAAAGTCTCCCAACATGCAGATCTTTACCAACAATGTCGTGGAGAGATGATGGAGGTTTACAATCAGAAGCTCGACGAGCTCAGGAAGCTCAAACACGAGCTGACAATGGCATCCAGAAGTCTCATAGATCAGCAGTTGGAGGAGCCGCCAGAAGCACCTCTAGATTCAGTGGAGACACAACTGGATTCAATGAGGTCGGCGATGGCCACAGCAGGGTCTGTCACACAGGTCCACGAGCTCTCGGACGAGGACGACGAGATGGTGCTCGGAGAGGAACAAGATGTGGAGATCATCAAAGGGAGCAGAGCAGCGAAAGCCAATTTCAAAGCTGCAACCTCACCGCAGAAGGTGGCCAATCTGCATTTGAAGCAAAAGAAGGAGAAAGCAGAGAAATGAGCCATGGAGGTGTATTTTCGAACACCGGGTCTATCTCTCTTTTTCAAGATAATGATGAGCTTTGTGGAAACAGCCCTTATGTGGACAGGAGGGCAGTTGCAGCTTGTCAGGAATTGTCTCATCTGAATTTGGGCATTGGGAGTTTTGCTCAAACTTGGAGAGAGACCATGAGTGAGTGGTGGAATGCCGACAGAGGTTGGTTACCAGACCATTGTCTTCAGTCGAATGAGCAGTCCAGAAAATGGTTTTGGCTGGAGTACAACGGTACCAGCCAACCGACACAGGAGAATGATTACGATGTTGATCTTGAATCAAGAACAAAGGAAGTTCTTCCAGCGGCACATTGGGTGAACCAGTGGCAGAGAAAGTTTGAGCCTCATGCGTTGTATGATGGAGCCTTTCCATGTCTGGTTGAAGAGTGTAAGAATGGACCCAATGAAAGTTTTCTTGAACATGCGTATGAATCGGCAGGGCTTGCTGATGATTTGTGTAAGCATTGGGAGAAACCACGAAGTTGGTTTCGGAACAAGCCACGGAAGACGGTTGGTTTTCATGAGAAGGTTCAGGTAGTTTGCATTTATGATGGAGAAGTTTGCGATTTTGAAGTTTGGGAGGACGATCGTGAATGTTGGTTGCGCAACATTTGGCATTTGCATGGACAAATCATGGCTTGGCCTATGTTAGCACGCTATTCTGCCTTTATTTCACAACATGCTCTCCTTCCACGTCAGTCGCCACTCCACCTTGAAAAATCTGTCAATGAAGGTTTCAGGTCAGATGTCCCTTTTTTCCATGCGAGACAGTATGATGATGTGAAAATGGGTTCGTTTGATGACACTGGAACATGGCATGATTGTTGGTTTGAAATGATGCAAAAATGGATTCAGCAAGAAAGAGTGGTCACGGGACGAAAGGTGGTCACTTGGTTTTTGGCCAAAGATCGCTTTCATGTGTGTGTGCAACATAGGGCGGTGAGCATACGTGAAGGCATGACACCTGCAGTTCCGTCAAGATTGCCAACAAGTGTGGCAAGACCTCATGTATGAAAATGACCAGGAACTGGCTTTTCACTTTGTGCACCCGAAGCCACCGGGTATGCCGAGCACTTTGGCTCATGTGATTATTGTCCAGGGAAGTCATAACAACCACAATTTTGTGCTTTACCACGGAGACTCATTGCCTGCGCTGAGGAGACAAAGAGCGGTCATGTTTCCTGAGGGAATTTCAGTTCGTGCATTTTTCATTGAGGCTCAGCATCCAAGTGCATGTCAGATCAGAAATGCAAGATGTTTCATACAGCATGATGATGGGCGTGCACAGGTTTTTCTCGATGAGGAGGAACTGATGAGAGTCCCAAATGCAGCGTTAGTCACTGGAGCTATACGTGTGTTAGAGCAAGAGTCAGATGATGAAGATGTAACTAGCAATGATGGTGAGACTTCAGCAGCTTCCACAGATGTTTCCAATGACCACTCTTTGGACGCTTTGTCCCAGCCCTCGGAAGAGACACAGTGGGATGAGGTTTCGAGTCCGAAATCTTGGAGTTGGGAAGGTAATCAAAGTGATTTGTCCTTGCGTGAAGGGGATGCCGCTACATTGATGTCAGGAGCACCAGTGATGATGCAATATGACAATCCGGATCCTTATCCTTGGCAAGTTGACCCTATCCATTTTGAGGAGGAGCCTGAGCAAGATATGATGGACACCGATTTTGCGGAAGATCATCAAACACAGCTGCAGGAATATGTGGAGCATGCTTTGGAGGGAACCGAAACAGAGGACACCGTTTGGCAAGCAGTGACCTTCGGAATTGGACTTTTGGATTTGGGTCGAAGGGATTTTCCTTTCAGCCCTCTAAGGCTCAATGAATTGCCGGAATTGGTGCAGCAGGCATGGTGGGATCACGCTCAATATGGAGCACTCACTATATTTCATGTTTACCCACAGCCAAGCGAGTTGGGCGGCATCAACAGTGTTGTGCTCTTGGTTAGTGTGGCCAGTCCGGCTGATCTGGATCCTGATGTGAAAAATGTCCTCATCACTCAAAAAGGGGACCCAGCAGCGGGATTGCGACCAGTTTCTTATGGAGCCAAAATTTTGACGGGTTCAACTGCCAAAGAGATCATGGTTCAATTAGATCTACACAGGAAGTGCAGACCTTTCACAATGCGGGAATGTGAAGTGCGTCTTGGTACAGAAGTCATGCACGAAGATGTGAGATACAATTTTGGACATGGTCTCTGGTGTTGCCCATCGTTTGGAAGGCGTCCCAATTATGTCACTAGCAACATGCAAAGGGTTGAGAGAGTTGAAGCATTCTATTTGCAGGTTGAGGAGCTTCTCTTGTTACGGCCTGAGAGTGACAGTATTGTTTGCCATGTACATGGAGTGTCGCCGGAAAACAGACCGATGGGACATCGTATTCTGGTGCTGCGAAGGCAGGAATTGGAAGGTGATCAGTGGATTGAACGGATGTGGCAGCTTTGGCCATTTGATCATCCATTTGCACCGATCACTTTTTGCCCCTTTGCTATGCCAGACATGAATGAATGTCAAGAAATGGTTTTCCATTTTGCCGTGGACTATGGATCGCGTGATGGAGTCACTGTTTTGGTAAGGCAAGTGATTCAAGTCGCAGATGACATACCGAAGGGTTTACCTGGGGTGCAAGAACTTTGGGCTGTGGTCATGCCGCACATGGAGATTAGTGAAGATCCATTGGAGGCTTTGGAAAGACCACCCTTTTGGCAACGTCATGTGAGAAGTCAAAACATGCGAATGCATCTGCAGGTCAATGGTGATCGATATCAGGATGTAGTTGGGCAATGGCAGGATGGGGATGTTCTCACTATGAAAGTCAATGTGGGGCAGAAAGCGCAGGCTTTATCCATACTGCTCAGAGAGGGCTATATGCCGGACCCAAATTTCGATGAGTTGGTCACAGAACAGACGTCCTTTTTGCAGATTGGAGCAACAATTCAGCATGTTGAAGTTTATGATCAAGGTTTCCAAGAGTTTTGCGAACATGTACGGGCAAAACAAGATTGTGCTTCGTTTGGTTCGCGGGCTGATGGGAAGGGCTGCATACGGGAGTGTGGGGGGGCTAACGTGGATCCCCCCAGCTCTCACAGCCAGGAAAAGGAAACAGTTAGGGATTTTCAACATGAACCCCTTTTGCGGCATTGCCATGAGGATAACTTGGATCTCATGGGATGTCAGGGGAATGGATCTGTGCAAACTACAAGTGAGGCAATTGATCGCCTGAAACATGACCTGTCATTGCTGTATCAAGAGGACTGGAAAGGTTTGAATCATGACTTTGAGCAGATTCCCTATTTACATCCTTTTGCAAGGTTGGCAAGTCAGAAGACTCAGGGCACGTCGAGATGCCAAAACGTTTTTCATGTTTTCACGGATGGATCATGCAAAAGACACAAAGCAGCATGGGCATTTGTCGTCTTATGTGAATGTCACACATTTGAGAGTCCTCTTTTTTACCGTGTTGGTTTTGCAGCAGGCAATGTGGATGAGAGCATTGGAAAAGTTCGTTGCAATGCAGCAGATGCAGAGGCGACAGCTATCATTGCGGGAGCGGAATTTTTGCTGGCGAAACCTGAATTACACAACATTGAGGTCTTTTTTCACTATGATGCAATTGCGGTTGGTCATGGGGCGTGTGGCAGCCAGAAAATTGTCTCGCAGGATGACAGTTATTCGGACAGACAAAGGGCCGCAAGAATATTGATTTCTTTGCTGCAACAACGTGCCGCAGGAATGAAAGGTTTGCATGTGAAAGCCCATGATGGACACCCATGGAACGAATGTGCAGACAGCATTGCAGGGCTTGTTTGCAATGGATGGCAACCACCAGTTCAGGCTGAGTTGAGATCAGGACCTTTGCTATCCAACAAGTTACGTGAGTGGGCGTGGGTTGAAGCCAATTCAACTGCGGTTATGCCATCACTGGAAGTTATGTTGAGAAATGATGTGGCAGCGTACAATCAAGGATGGGTTGATCCGACCTTGACATCTGTGCAAGAGCAGTCTGCAAGTCACAGTGATCATGTGGGCGATTCAAACTCTCACAATGAGGGATGTCAGACCCATCGCATCAGATTTGCGACAGCGAATGTGGGCACTCTTGATTACAGAGGCAATGTGAGCTGTTGCAGCATCAAAGCCAATGAGTTGCTTCAGCAATGTCAACAAGAAGGAATCCACATTTTTGCGATACAAGAATCCAGAGCAGCAACATCAAGAACTCTCACAAATGGTCCTTTCACTCGCTACATTGCGAAAGGAAGTCAAGGACAGGCAGGAGTTGAGTTGTGGATCAATGCACTGGAGCTATCCAAGATCTTTCACTGCGATTTTCACCCTGAGAAAGATGTGTGTATCTGGCATTGTTCTGAAAGAATCCTTGCGGCGAGATGTCACTGTGGGGTTCACACATTGGAGATCATTGTTTTCTATGCACCTCAACGTGGAAGAGGGGCTCAGGAGCAAGAGATCTGGTGGTCATATTTCAAGAGCATTTTGCAAGGTAGAGACAAGAAAGCACAGCTTTTCATGCTTGGGGATGGAAATTGCAGTGTTGGCAGCATCGACGATGCAGCCATTGGGTCTTTGGCAGCGGACATTGAAGACGAAGGTGGAGGTTATTTGCATGATATATGCACGAGTGAGAGCTTGATGATTCCCTCCACTTTTGACCAATGGCACAACGGGCAGTCCCACACATTTCTCAGTGCGAAAGGAGGACGCTCGAGAATTGATTTCATTCTGATTCCTCAAGAGTGTGCTGCCAGTGTGGTGCAATCATTTGTCAATTTAGACATGGATCTGATGAATGGAGACCGGGACCATTTTGCATTGTGCTTGGACTGCGAAGTACAGGTTGGTGACAAGAACATTGTGAGACGTTTCGTACGTCAGCAGTCTTACAATCGCAATGAGGCTAGAAAGTCCCATTCACAGCATGACATTTTCAGCATTATTGATAGTTGCCCAGCAGTTGATTGGAAGACAGACGTCAATGATCACTGGGATGTCATACGAAATCATTTCCAGAAGCAGGCCAAAATTCTTTTTCCATGTCAACAGAGGCAACAAAGGCAGCTTTATTTCTCTGCTGAGGCATGGGATGTCCTGTGCAATCGAAAGGATATACGAAAACAATTTCGTGAGCTGCAAAGGGAAAAGAACAAGATGATGCTGCGAGCCATATGGCAAGTCTGGAAGAGTGAAATCTCTGCAGTCAATGAAGAGGAAGATTTTCATTTGCCACTTCACATGCTGCGATGTCAGGAAGCGATCACCTATGAAGCTCGTCTGAGGGCTGACAAACAGTTCAGAGCTATCAAAAAGAGGGATTGGAAAAACTGGATCAGAAAACAATTGAAGGACAAAGTTGAAGCCGCACAAGGAGTGCGATCAGCAGAGCTCTTCAAAATTTTGCGGCCCAAGCAGATGATTGCGAGAAGTGCAGGGAAGCTAATCAGACAATTGCCGGGTCTGATTGGACAGGACGGTGAATGGAAGAGCAGCAGAGACGAAGTAGCAGTTGAGTGGCAAGCACAGTTTGGAGGGATTGAAAATGCGGAGGATATTTCTGTGGAGGAGCTGTTGGAGCGATCTTGTCAGCAGTTCTTTGGCAGACGAACAGAGGAGGATCTGTTACAATTGCCAACCATTTATCAGCTGGAAGGGGCCATCAGGGCACTGCAGGCTGACAAGGCCACAGGGCTGGATGGATTAGGCGCTGAGCTTCTGCAGGCCGATCCTTGCAAAGCAGCTCAAAAGATTTTCCCCTTGGTTTTGAAGGCGGCGATCAGAGGTCAAGGCATCATGGAGCTGGCCGGAGGATGGTTGCTGCCTTTATACAAAGGAAAGGGTAATCCTCAAAAGATGATGGGATACAGAGCGATACTCTTGGAATCAGTTGTTTCCAGAGCGATATCTAAGGCCTGGAGGCCGAAGATTACAGCTGGTCTTTCACTGATTGCGGAACCCATGCAGTGGGGAGGTCGACAAGGGCTGTCTATTGAGGCATTGCACCTTCATATCCATTTTTGGAAACGAAATGCGAGGAGGAAAAGAGTGTCACATGCTGTAGTCTTCCTTGACATACGTGCGGCCTTCTACTCTGTGGTCAAACAAATGGTGGCAGGAGAAGCAAGAGGCATGCGCAAATTGGAAGAGGTTTTCAGCAAAATTGGAATGTCAGAAAATATGAAACCGGATTTTTTACATCAGGTGTCTGGCGTCAATTTGGTGAAACAAGCAACCGGCTCAAACATTGTTGCCGGAAATGTGGCAGCGATGTTGGGATTGACATGGTATGTGATCCCGGAGTCAAAAACAATTCAGGGCCCGATGACGGGATCGAGGCCGGGAGACCCCTCAGCAGATGTGCTGTTCTCGCTGGTACTTACAAAGGTTTTGAAACTCATCAAGGACAGAGCTGGTGAGCAAGGCATTCAACTACATCATAAAGCTACAGCTGGAGATGTTTCAGATGTGGTGACCTGGGTGGATGACATTGCTTTTTCGCTCACTGGAGAAGCACAGCAGTTAGTTTCAAAGACAATGAAGCTGCTGGCAATTGTTCAAGACACGATGTTGGAACATGGCCTTGCGTTGTCCTATGGCGTTGGAAAGACGGCTGTGATGTTTTCATTTCATGGGCCAGGAGCGACAGCGGCGAGACAAGAAACAGAACAGAAATACCGTGATGGTTTACCTCTGCTCAGTGAACACAAGGGGAAAGTCAACATTCCAATTGTTAGCCACTATCGTCATCTTGGGGGCTTTGTGGTCCGTTCTGGATCACGTTTGCAGGAGTTGAGGGTGAGAACAGCAGGAGCCATGGCGAAGCTCAAGCCATTGAGAAGCATTCTCACTCACCCAGATTTGCAGCAAGAACAGAGGAGCAGGCTGGTTAAAAGTCTTGGCCTTTCAGTTTTCACGCTGCATGCTGGCACCCTTTATGCGATGACGCAAGGTGAATATCAACAGTGGCAAGCGGGAATACACAAAATCTACCAATCACTGCACCAGCGCAAGCACGATGGGGAGGTTCACCATTTCACACTCTATCAGCTTGCGGATATGATGAAATCACCAATGCCGATGGAAATGATCCACCTATGCAGATTGCGTTTGTTGGTTCACATCATCAGAGCGGGTGATCAACATATGATTGCAGCCATTATTGAGAATCATGAGATTGAACAAGAAGAGTCATGGTTGCAGGGTGCTTTCTACAGCTTGCGTTGGTTGGCGCAACAAGTTGGAAATGAAAATGTTCCAGATGAACTTTTTCAACTGGAAGATCCACAGGTGTGGGGCTGGTTTCAAGAAGGAGCTCATGAGATCAAGAGCCTCATCAAGAAAGCAGAGTTATCGCACTTGTGCAAGGTGGAATCGTTTTGTGCTCTGCAGAAGCAAGCCAATGAGCAAGACCAATTGTTGAGAGAAATGGGATGGAGTTGTGAAGATGAGGACGACAGTCAAGAAAAACATGCTATCAGTGATTTTTCATTTGCGTGTGATGAATGTGATGCAGTTTTTGATTTGTCGTCGTCTCTGGCGGTACATCAACAGAAGAAGCATGGAAAAAGAGTTGCGTTACGCAGAGTGGCATGTGATGCAACGTGCAGAGCATGTGGTAGGTTCTATCATACCAGGCCAAGGCTCATCAAGCATCTTCAAACCGCAAAGAAAGGTTGTTGGCAGTACCACTTGAGGAACTTTGAACCCATGACAGAAGAGGAGGCACTTGCTTTACATGAGAAAGATTGCAAAGCAGGTGTGGCTGTGCATCAGAGAGGTCTTATTGAGCATGCGCTTGATCACACATGGAGGTGGTGCACGGAAAAGGAGAAGGAGAATGGCTTACCATTGAAGTCGCAAGTGGTGCGGGTTGATGGAGAGCCAACGGAGGAGGAGATCAGCGAATGGTCGTTGTTGGGCATGCTTCCACCCGGGCAGGGTGGAAGATGCCAAACCAAAAGAAATCCAACGCAATGGAGCGTGCACAATGTTGGGCATGAGGCCACAGATGTTGAGCGCAAGTTGATGGATAGGGTACAAAAATGGTCTCCAGATCCAGATTGGATCCCCAGAGGTCCAGCTGAAGGCAGAAGATTTTTCCTGATATTTTTTTCAGGGCATCGACGTCTCAAAGATCTTGCTACCTACATCTGGTGGAAATCGGATTTGATTCCGATATGCCTGGATGTTGCCATTGATGCGGAAGTAGGCAACATTTTGCAGGACAGTTTGTGGCGCTCTCTCATTCATGCCAGGCGTGTCGCTGGTGGACACGCAGGACCGCCCTGCGAGACTTATTCACTGGCGAGATGGCTTGAAAATGAGAATCAGCTATACCCACGACCTCTTAGGAGTTGTGAACAGCCTTGGGGGTTGGATGGCCGAACTTTGAGAGAGACGCGGCAGTGGCTCATGGGCAACATTCTCATGTGGCGTGCGCTTTCATTGTTGTTGCTCATCTATGCCTATGGCGGCTCTTTCACACTGGAACATCCTAAGGGATGTGGAGGTGTTAACAACAAGTGGACGATATGGGACTCAGCATTTGTCAAACAGTTGATGCTGGCAGGAGACATTAGGCTCTGGACCATACTTCAAGGCCCTTTAGGCCGACCCTTCGCGAAGCCAACCAATCTTCTCGCTGCTAGATTGGAAGGCCTGGGAGAAGCCATTTACAAGGGCTATGACAAGAGCTGGAGACCATCAATGATGTTGGGTGGCAAGGAGGGGCATCATTGGCGCACCGCTCAAGCCAAAGCCTATCCTCCAGAACTTTGTAGGATCCTTGCCGAACAACACAGTTCCTTCGCAGCATGCCAACAGGCAGAGGGTGTGACCATCGAACCAGAAGATTTGCAAGCAGCTCTGGAGATTTTGGCCAACACCTATGACCCGTACATGCAGAATGCAAAGGGCACAACAATGTGCTCAGATTATTTTCACAAAGCAGCAAGGGAGGTTTGAGTAATCACCCAAAGGGGCTGAAATGAAAAAACCTCCAATTAGATGCCAAGACATGGGTCGCTCATAGTGAGCTTTTGTGGCCTGTGCAGCATGCCGGCGACTTCGAGAGAGTCACAAGCAGAGTGGAATAAAATATGTAATATGATTGTAATATGTAGATATGTTTCATTCTCTATGGATAATATTGGAAAGCCAATGCCATAAAGCTGGCATGGTTTTGGGGATGGAAGCGACGAAAAACTGGGGATTCAAGTCCAGAAACCATGACTTTTGGCTAGTGGGATATAGCCAAGGGGACAAGCACAGGGATATTTTTTCAAGGATCATCAAATGGGGATTCAACCCCGCAAGAACTCTGGTATGTGGGGATATACCATCTGGTAAATTAACATAACTATGGAAAATCACCATTTTTAATGGGAAAATCCACTATTTCAATGGCCATTTTCAAGAGCTATTTTGACATAACCAGAGGGTAACTGGATACCATCGAAATATCATGATGATCCTGGGGGATGATCTGGATGGAATGATGGTGTGTTTACACAGGAATCGTCCCCTGCCGGAACTGGTCAGCTTAATGAATCATACTTTATCCAGATAAATGGTGCAGTTAATGAGTCTCCCTAAATTTGATGGGTATTTTTCTTAATCTCGGTCAATATACTGTAGGAAAGATTCGTCAACCCACCGATGGTGATCCGAGGAAAGGCATCCGTGGTTGAGACCAGGACTGGGCGAACAATTTGGGGTTGGAGGTACTTAGGGTATATTCAATGGCTATAGACATGAATTCTAACCTTTGGTATAAATTATAGTATATATATATGAATTATAGTATATATGAAGTATATGTAAATTATAGTATATATGAATACTTCGGTATAAATCATAGTATATATGACTTTTATATGTACTAACCTATAGTATAACTCAACTTGCTTACCGATTGCCTTTTGATTCGATTTTTGCAGGGTTAACCCACATCCCGAAGGTTCTGGTGAAAACCTGGTGCTGCAAGGATTGGTAAACCGGAGGAAGCTGATCATGGGATCTGAGAGGGCAGGGCTGTTGATACCCTGCCCCCGATTTGTCCTGGCTGGGTTCTGTTTGCTTTGGTTCATATATTTCTCCAGAGGATTCAGTCGAAAGTTTCATTTCGGATCGCCAGATTTTTGTTCCAGTTCCGCCTCTAAAGCAATGATCCCGGAGCCGGAAGCGCTCGACAGGAGACGAGTCTCGATTTCGGGGGACGTCCCGAAAAGTGCACATCCAAAACCATAGGAAGATTGATCCAAAGTCTATAGACATCTGGAAAGCTATCTGAATTTTGCATCCCGAATTTCCCAAGATGACTGTTGGATTTTTAAAGATCTCATCCTTAAAAAATGTGGGTATGTCTGAAAATTTGTTACCCCGAAAGTTGATTCATCATCATCATTTTCCGGATTCAAGTGGCCATGTAACTGGGGATGTTCATCCGCATGTTTCAGACAGCCCCACAGAGTGAAACCATCCCCAAGCAGATTTTCTTTGGAGGTCGTGGGCCACTTTTTGGGACCGATCCGAGAACCCCCCTGTGCCGTGGTTTTCCGACGCCGCAGCTAAGCTGCCAGGCTACGGCGCTGGAGGAAAAAGATGGAAAAACACAGGGTGACAACTATCGGGGATGGACTATGAACAAATTGAACAATGAAATTTAATTCCTCCAGAAACTCCGTAGCAATCATGAGGTTGTCAAGAAAAGCTGGAGATGTAGCTGCTCACACTCAAAACCACCAGCATGGTCCATTTTTAGATGGAACTGATTGTTTCATTGGATTCCAAAAATCCCATCATCACCATTTTTTTACAACCCATATTGATTTATTTTTATCGCATGGCAAGGGGAACATCCACCATTTCTAGATGATTTTGCCAAGGCCTCCATTGAGTTTGGGCATTTCCCAGCCATGTTTGATAACACTGGAGGGTAGATCCCATGAAAAATCACCGTAAAAAATCACCATTCTTGTGGCTTAAATCACCATGAAATTACCATTCAACTGTTGGTTAAATCACCATAAAATTCCTTTTTTTTGGTGAAATCCCCATTTCAAGGCCGCAGATATTCATATGTCCGAAGGTGCTGGCATCCCTCCAAAGGCTCCCTCGGTGCTGGAGGCCCTTTTTTACAATGGTGAGGTTCAGATGGGTCTGAAAATGGCGTGCCTCTAAATCCACTGATTGTATGGGTCAGATGGATTTGATTATATATATACACATATGTATATATATATTTATACCCTCTGGTTATTTAACATAGCCATGGAAAATGGCCCATCTATAGATGGTTTACCCATTAAAAATGGTGATTTTCCATGGCTATGTTAAATAACCAGAGGGTATATTTATATATCGATTTAATTATCTAACTATCCATTAATAATCTTTTTTCCGATGACATGGGTTAGATGGATTTTAAATCATGATTTTGAATCCTCTAAATAGCAATTCTGTGGGCATACATATCCCATCTTCAGAGAACCATGCAAGGACAAGGTATGTAAATGTCGGAAGATGTCAACATCGTAGTAATTTTTTGGGTGATGTTTGGGATGCGCTCGGGTACCGCGGCTTTGAACCTCATGAGGAATTTTGTTGGATGCTATGGGATGTTGTACCACCCAACCTTAACACTGCCCCAAATGGATGTATTTTGCTCGGGGCATCTGAGCATTCTGAGCTTCTGCCGGTGCCAAAAGCTGTCAACCAACCAGTAGAACCTCTGTTTGAATGGTCACCCCAGGCTTATAGCTCACGATCCCCAAAAAAGGCAAGCCTCAAAAAGATAGGGAAGTTGAGCACCTGAAGATTGTGAATTAACAGTCATCTATAACATCCAGGAACCAACAATATTTGTTTCATTTTGTGTTTTTGGGGTTCCCCAAATGGTTTTCTTGGCTTTGCCAACTACGAGATTGGGTTGGAAATTTCGCCCATAGCCTCTGGAGGTCCCCTATGCTCCACCCAGAGTGGTATCTTGGCAGCATTTCCCCAATCGTTCGATCATTTCCCAGCTAGCCATGTTTGATCACAGGAGGATATCTTGCCTGCAACATCCTGGGATATCGGGTGAAGTGGATGATCTATGATCTCATGCTAGTTGGATGAAAAGGATCATGTCTCGTGTGAAGCTACTTGTTTTGGGTCTTGCAAAAGATTTCTCACTTGGCAAATGGGGGTTTCCCTAAATCATCTAAGAATCTAAGTCATGGATGACCATGACTTAGTATTTTATTATATTTTATTCAACAACCTATGGTACTATGGTGACTTTTGGGATCCCTCAGCCCTTAGGAAACCTCCAAATCATCGTTCTTATTGTGTTCCTCATCGCCAGAAACCGATGGCGGCGCTGAGGTGCCCATTGTGCCACCTGCACGGAAATTCGCGGAGGCCTTTTCAGGAAGCCTAGCATTTTGGTGGTGTACAATGTTATACAAACCTCTTTTTCTGGATTGCACATGATTGCACTTTATTTTGAAGAAGTGTTCGTTCTACAGACATTCAGGATGAGTACAAGAAATCCTAATTCTGGTTCAGGCTGGTGATATATTGCCGCATGGCAGGAACAAAGCTTAACTTAAAGTGCTTTTGCACTTTCGGTTTTCGGCAAGTAACTCTGTTTGTAAGGCTGCGTAAATCGGATGCTGCTATTCCTCATTGAAGAAAAAGTAGCTATGGCTATAACTATAACATACTATATACTGAGAATTACATATATATACACATATACACATATACACATATATGTATATGCACACATCATCATATAAAAATATCTATACTATATGTACTCCGATGACTCGTGGGGTGATCGATCCCCTCGACATTTCCACAAGCCATTTCTGGGCCCAAGCAGCGTCCACTGCGCCATGCTGACCTTCGTCGCTGCGCCGCTGTCAGCGCACGCCGTGGCGCCACTGGCGCCGGCGCGGGAAGCGCCACGGGCGCGGGAGGGTCGAGGCAGGGGCGGACTGGTGGGATGATCATCTAACGAATGGCGGGCGAATGATGTATGATGTAATCAATTGACTAATTCTGAGTGATGGTTAATGGTTGTAAGTGGTACAACTTAGTAATGCGACTTGTTCCCAACAAACGTTTCTAGGGTATTGTGCAGAGAAACTTGGAGTGACTTGGCTTGGCGCCACCCGTTTGAGACCCTGAGTTGTCCGTGTGAAAATGCCGAGGTTGGTCGGTTGAATCCCTGTGAAAATCATCGGTTCATGAATTGGAAACGCATGTGGAGAGAGTCATGTTGCCCAAATATCTGGCTGCTTAACCCCTCCTAGAAGAAGTCGAATGGACACCAACCGCACCGCTTTTTTTTTGGAGGTAAGAACCCATCGTTAGAACCTTGAAGCAATCCGTTGAAACCAGGATTCGGGATTCTCAATTATTATGTTCATGATAGACAAAAACACAATTTTTTTGGTTGCTGAAAAAAGCTATTCCATTCATGTCATATATATATATATGTCTCAATTTTTAAGTTGTCCCATAGATGTCCATAATCATCCCACATGATATTCATCAAGTTACATATTTTCCAACTCAGCGTTAATTTTCCAATGACATCCAATCTTTATAGCTTACCTTGCCGCAATAGGACACTTTTTTTTTGCCTCTACCATAAAGAATGGACACATTCTATTCCCTGTATGGATGAAGCATAGTTTGTATCCATGGGTCAGTATCCACAGCATCCACTAATATCGCCCTTTTATGATTGGTTACACGTCATATTCCCATGAGTTCTCCCAGAAATGTCCATAGTTATCCCAGATTCTATCCATCAAGTCAATGGTCATTTCAGGTACTTAAATTGGAGCTAACTACCATATCTAAGGCCTAAGGGCTCAATGGCAGGGAATATCCCCAGCAAATATGGCCATATATGCTACAGTACCTCCATTTTAGGGTCCTGAAATTTCTCACTGATTAACACTTACCTCCCGAAGCTAAGTGGTTATCCCAAATGATAAGTTATATTCCCATTAATTATGCAATCCATTCAGTTTCCTACTTCCATATTCCATGATATTCTAGCATATGCCATAATATTTCATGATATTCCACTATGATCCTTCTATATACATCATAGATACCCATAGTGGAATATCAATTTGATATTATATCTATATTCCACTATGGATATTCCATATTCCATAATACTCCATAATATTCCATAATTATATACTTAACATCATATATCATCATGGAATTCCATAATTAATATAGTTATATTCCATCATATTCTATATATTCCACTTAACATCATGGATACCATGGTCACATGGTCAGGCCTTTGCTGGCGTCGAAGCTCGGGTCTTTCTGTCGGCGTGACCTCCGCTGCAGTGGCCGTCGCTGTCAAAGCCCGGGTGAGACGGCGCGCAACAAAAGGCGCAGCCAGGGAAGAACTTGGGCATTTGCAAACAATTATATGGAATGTATATATATATATATAATATATGTATAATATATATGTATAATATACAATATATATATACACATATTTGTACAATTATGAACTATTATGAATATGTATATATATACAAATATGCACAAGCACATACATACGTATATATATATATACACATACACGTACCACGTACATGGATGGATGCATGAGCAAAAGTGTGCAACTATCTCAGGAGATTTCATCCAACCACCCCAAAAACCAACAAGAAGGACAAGATCAGCTGGGGGCAGGAGATGAGATCAAGTTCGCCACCTCCAACGAGAGCAAGGCGGCTGAAACTTCCCCGACCTTTCGCATACTTCACAATAGTCCAATTAAATATATAATGTAGCCAATGATTGGGCATTTCAATGTCAACTGTGGGTTGCAATCTCCCACTTTTCATAGACAACCCATTTTTTTCTAGACTTGGATGAAGGGACAATTTAAAGGTTTCAACATGTTTCAACCCTATATGTCTAATAGTAAAACCCACCAATTCCTGCAAATTCTCCGATCACTTTGTTGCCTACTTTGAATCCCATCTCTCACCATTTTCGTCCATTTTTTTGGGTTGATATCCCCTGATTTTTTGACGGTTTCTCCATCAATGTCCCACGCAAGATTCAATTTTCCCTGGTTTATCCCCAGAAATTACCACGCAATTCACCAGATTCTGTAGAATTTCCTTGGACATTCCCCAATTTCCCTGGATTTTTTCCAGATTCCGCAGAATTTCCCTAGAAATTCCCCGGGAATGCCTCAGATTTTCCCCACAAACAGCCCTACAAACTGCAGGCGGTTTCCACAGCTCCTCCCGTCTCGCTGCAGCAGTGGGCGCAGGGCACCGCTGAAAGGCTGCCAGCTTTGGCGCAGCTTAGTGGGTCGGTGGTCTCTTGGATGCCCCAATGGTCAGAAGCGGTATTTAGTGGGACATTATACTGGGATTCTACTTTATTGACAATGGGATCTCAATTATTATGAAAGGGAATGTATATATTGCATAATATTTAAAGGGACTATGAATGGGATTATAAATGGGATGATGAATGGGATTGGGGTGATTATTGAGATATCACAGTTAACTAACCAACCATCCATTGAATGGGATATGAATCATTTCCCCCTAATCTTGAACACACTCCCATTGTATGGTCCCGAATATGTTCATATAAATAGTGGGTTTACAACCAGAATTAATGGGATTATTATTGAAATCATCTGCCATAATTAATGGGAGAATAGGGTTATAAGCCCACTATCATGGTTAGTTTATATTGGTATATATATATTGGTCAAAAACAAACGATATCAATGGTGGGAATTATAGGATATTATAGTGGATTTTGAACTAAGCAGCCATTTCATGCGGAACGATATGAATTAATGGGATATGGAACCAATAACGTGGGAAACCGCAGGACCGGATTATCCCAAAATGGGCGAACTTTTCAGCTTGGTGTATCACTAGAACTTACAGTATGTAGATACACAATCTGCCAGAATTCTGGGAGCAATCAGTTTGGGGGATGGTGTTCCCTTCTGGTAAATTGCCATTCTGTTGACCTGTTGGGTGCGAATCTTTATTGTGGGATAAATCTTGCTGGTTTGGGAATCCATAGAAACGTGGATTAGGATCAGCCTGGGGTTATCCCATGTATGACTTGGGTTATAACTCTAGCTTACTAACGAGTTCCTAAGTGGGTTGATGCTCCAAGGAAACTCAGGATGCTGATGGAATATTTGGGGTTCGGGTTGGGATTGGGAAGTTGCGTGGTAGGCAAGGGTCACAACAGATCTCTATATATTGGGGATTTGTGAGATGAAATATATTTTTTCTTTTTTTTTCTGACCTTGGATTTTTTTTCTGGCATCTCAAGATTTTTTGAGCTCTTTGCTTGCATTCAAAAATTACCCCAAACATTGCCTCCTTCATCGATGCCGTTTTACTAGATGCTACTGGTCGGTATTGATGCAGAAAGAGGAGCGAACCTCAAATTTTATCCATTATGAGAACCTTTTTTGGGTCAATGTACCTCCCCTTCAAGCATACTTCCAATTTATACTTCTAACCCCTAGCAGTAGAACTTTTTCCACAGAACAACAAACAATGTCAAAAGATCCAGTCAAAACACCCATCTTTCCTTGATTTCCTTCTTTATTTTTTGGAAAATCACAATTTTTAATGGGAAAATCCACTATAAATGGCCATTTTCAATAGCTATGTTAGTTTACCAGAGGGTAAGTTTCTGACCCTTCGCCATGTCTTTCCAGACCGGACCTGACCGTGCGCCCGTGGATCCCTACGGCCGAGGTGGTCATCAAATACGGCGGCGCGGCCATGGTGGAGAGCCCGGAGCGCACCATGCGCGACGTGGCGGCGCTGGCTGCCATGGGGCTGAAGCCGGTGACCGGGACCCAACGGGGACCCAACGGGGACCCAACGGGGAGTGGCTGAGGGAATGGCAGGTCACCAAGATGGCAACAAAATAAGTTACTGTATAAATCTATGCTATATGGAAACACACATGTTTTGAGATTTTTCTTGTATGTGATGATTTTAAGTATATTTTTTTACACATGATTTTCCAAGATTTTTCGTATACATAAGTATACAATAGTATATATACATGTAGTGGGTTCTGATGGATTTCACCGAACTGGGATCAAAAACCACTAAAACATGTGGAGGCCACTTTTTTCAGAGCAGAAAAGGGTGAGCCCGAACCGGGGTAGTCACCAAATTTCTTTCAGAGGAAGAGGTTCCCAATATAGACTTACCCTCTGGTAAACAGCCACATAACTATGGAAAATCACCATTTTTAATGGGAAAATCCACTATAAATGGTCATTTTCAACAGCTATGTTAGTTTACCAGAGGGTAATCATCCAAATCTCTATTGGCCTGTTAAGAACTAGCTCGGAATCATTTGTGGAGTTAATGTACGAAGAAAAGGTGCAGACGTAAACAACAGTCTTGGGATGTGACTGATATATCCAGCCAAGCTTCCTTCCATTCAATGCGACGAGGAAATCAAGCCCAGTCATGTGAGGACCATCTTACAACTCGCATTTGCTTAGGAACCCTAGTTGTTGACAACCCACACATATTGGGGACTTATGACCACCAGGACTATTGACTCGTTAACTATAGTTACTTACTAAGCTTTTTTCAGTGGGTAAGTACCATATCAAATAAACCGGTTTTTTTCAGGGGGATATACACCAGTTTTTCCCCTCCATCAACCATGGCTTGCTGGAAAATCCACGGATTTCCCAGCTTAACCATGGAAATGATGACACCGGACAGCGGGTAAATCATCCCATGAAGATGTTTCTAATTGACTAATTATTTAAAATTTCCTGTATAATATTGATATCCCATCTATAGATCATAAAATCCCATCAACAATCCATAGAAATCACCATTTTTGATGGCAAATCATTCCATTCATATCATTTCATATCCCATCTGATGATTTTTCCATATTCTTCCTATAGAAATGACCATGATATGACCATGTTTGATATGGGTTACCCACTTCCGTTGGGTGCCCGGGTGCCCTGCGAGGTCTTGGTCCATGGAGGTGGTCCCGAGATCAACAGCTGGCTGGCCAAGGTGGATCGATGATCTGCTGGTGAACATTTTTTTTCAGCTTCCAAGTCCCGAGAAATATACATGTATGTAACAATATATGTTATATTATATATAATATATATATAACATATTCATCCTATTTATTTTTTCATAGTATGTATTCATCTATCGTATTTCAAGTATGGAAAGGGCTGGAAAGAGGTCTTGCACACATGCGCGTCACGCTCCGGTGGAGCTGGTGATTGACTAATAGAGGGGTCATTCCCAGCAACCAATAGAGAAGTGATCTGGTTAAGATTCGCCCGGAGACAATCGTGCTTGTTGGCTTGTTTTGTACGCTATTAGAAAGCCCTTATGCTAACCGTCCTCTGGTAATTGTTCATCAATAGAACATGACCCTTTTGTAGATGATCTACCCATTCAACACGGTCATTTTCCATGGCCATTTAGGATTTCCAAAAGGTAAAACATCGAGGACGCGTTACAGCTCACCATAAATTTTGAGATTTCGTAAAATTTGGCGGTCTACCAACTTGGTCAAAATAAGTCATCCTTTATGTGTTACTTATCTTTTTTATTATTATTCAACTTTTTATTCATTTTTTGGGATCCATCATTTTGAGAAACATCCAAACGATGCTTAGTGGGGGGATTTCATTCCAACATCTCAACGAGATGAACGTTGCTCAGAGGTGGGCATCGAGCCCAAGTTCGTGCGCGGGCTGCGGGTGACCGATGCCGATACCATGGAGGCCGCCATAGCCCCAACGTTGTGGCAATTTTGATGTGAAAAAATGAGGTTTTGAAGGGATAGAATGAGGCATCAACCGTTTTTTGGACCTGGCGAGACACTCATCGGAGTCCACCCAAAAATCGGGATGTTTCGAGGGTCGAGGCATGATTTTCCTTGAAAGTCGTCAAGTCAATCCAATGATAAGTCTGAGGGAAAACCACTGGGCCCTATCAATGGCCAGTGGGAGTTTGAGTCCAACAATGTAATGTTCCACATAAGTGCGCGGGTGATGATGCATGTAATGGGCTGTACATACCCGCATCTACTAAGGGCTTGACAAGGGCTGATAGATGAACCAGCGGAATAGCCAACACCATAGAGTGAGTAGGAACCACAAGTCTATTTGTGGTTCCAGCAGGGTTGCATCGCTGGTTATAATCCCACATGTTTTCTTCATGTTTGTACCTTAAAGATATATTGTATACTGTAATACACTGTATATACATATATATATATATATATACATATACATATCATATATATATATACATATACATATACATATATATATACACATGAATATCCCATTTCAGTGGCTTTTTGCACAATTTGGTGGGTGATCATTTTCCATTGCTGAATCCCATGCTTCAAGGGATAAGTCCCCCTGTTTCTGTGTATGACTCAGGTATTTAGACGCCATAAAGACCTGTGCATTTCGGCTGCCCTGTCACATTCCTGCAGGTGGTGGCTATGGTCCTGATGGGAAAGGCTCTCTGGTAATTCAACATGGCTGGAGAATCATCGAAGATCAGATTACTTGAACAACTCAACACCTGTTTTTTTTCCGTTTTGAACCTCCAACAAGTTCAGATCATTCAGATGGCCCCGTTTCCAATGTGCGAGGTGAACAAAGGCATAGTGGCCACAATGGGAGCAGCCGGCGTGCGAAACTTAGGCTGCGCCCACGACTGATTACCGATGATGAATTCTGGATGATGGATATGGGACGATGAATGCTGCATAGTTTGTAGATGATGGATCATATCTCATCTTGTATCATCGCATGATGTATCATATCATTGACCAAGGTCGTCATGATAGTGGTAAGTAACGTCACTCGAGTGCAGATGAACCCAAGTTCCTTGATCAGGGACGTCCCAAAATAGCATAATTCCAACCCGCAAATTCCACATGGTACGCTTCATATGAATCTTTTTAGGGTTTTTTTAGATCCTTGTTTGACATTGGATGACCATGAATCATCTCATCATGATCCAGATTCCAATCATTATTTGACCATCTTAGGGAATCACCCGGGGGTTCTCCCAGCTTGCGTTGCAAGGTCTCTGCCGTAGGCCTTAGTGGTGTGGATGGAGGTTTGCTTCAGGCCAGAATTGGGCGCATGGACGGTTGGGTAATAAAGCAAGGCGGACACCCCTGGCAGAATTAGGGATTTTAGAAGGGTTAAATGGGGAGAATGTGTGGAATTATCATGAATTATCCGCTTATCCGCAACTTGGTTTCAAATTTATAGTGACAGGAGAGACTTTTTTCCCTATCAACATGGAGCAATTCAGGTGTTTCTTTCCCTTGCAGCCCCTACTCTAGGCCCTTGAGTGTTGTGGCCTATCTTCAACATTTCTTACAGATCTCCAAAAATGAACCGGAAAGTGTCCCGTGCTGTCTGTATACTATATATATATCATTACATATAATATACAAAACACATACATTTATAATACATACCGTCTATGTATATATGATTATATATGTATATATGTATACTACACAAAGAGCTGTAGTTCCATTCTTCATTCGTTGACTTCACCTTTGTCTCAGAAGTGCAGGCGAAGAAGGTGGACGATGAGGAGCTGGGTTTCGTGGGAGAAGTCACAGGCGCGCTGCCGCTGGGCAGCTGTTGGCCGGGGAAATGGCGCGTAAATAGTGCTTGAATCGCGGTTAGTAACGGTTAGTCAAAGGAAGTTTAGGGGGAGAAACTTCCGTGTTACGGACTTTTAGAATATCAGGGAAAGAGTTAGTCAAAGAAAGAGTAGTCAAAGAAAGAGTTAGCAAAGAAAGAGTTCGTCAGGGAAAGAGTTAGTCAAAGAAAGAGTTAGTCAAAGAAACAGTTAGTCAGGGAAAGAGTTAGTCAAAGAAAGAGTTAGTCAAAGAAACAGTTAGTCAGGGAAAGAGTTAGCAAAGAAACAGTTAGTCAGGGAAAGAGTTAGTCAAAGAAAGAGTTAGTGAGGGAAAGAGTTAGTCACAGAAAGAGTTAGCAAAAAAGAGTTAGCAAAGACAGAGTTCGTCAGGGAAAGAGTTAGTCAAAGAAAGAGTTAGTCAAAGAAACAGTTAGTCAGGGAAAGAGTTAGTCAGAGTTAGTCAAAGAAACAGTTAGTCAGGGAAAGAGTTAGCAAAGAAACAGTTAGTCAGGGAAAGAGTTAGTCAAAGAAAGAGTTAGTGAGGGAAAGAGTTAGTCACAGAAAGAGTTAGCAAAAAAAGAGTTCGTCAGGGAAAGAGTTAGTCAAAGAAAGAGTTAGTCAAAGAAACAGTTAGTCAGGGAAAGAGTTAGTCAAAGAAAGAGTTAGTGAGGGAAAGAGTTAGTCAAAGAAAGAGTTAGTCAGGATATGTGAGGTAGTCAAAAAAAGAAATAGCAAAGAAAGAGTTAGTCAAAGAAAGAGCAAAGAAAGAGTTAGCAAAGAAAGAGTTCGTTAGGGAACGAGTTAGTCAAAGAAATTGTTCCCTCACTGTAAATAGGATTGCAAGTGGTGCTGGTGGAGGAGTTGCCGATGGAGTTTTGAAGGAAGTCTCGCACGAAATGCGTTTTTGAGAGATAGCAGATGCACGAAAGCCTATGTTTTTCCATGCAAAGTCCGTCCCCGAACCTCAATGATCTACCTCTGCGGTGCGACGGTTGCGAGACGGTCTCGTGTGTGGTCGGATCATGCTCGGATCATTCTCGGATCGGTTCCGCATTGTAAATGGGGTGTCACCTGTGTTTCGTGCATTTGTGGTCGACAGAATTTCATTGTGATTTGCAACTGTAGGATCGTTCCCGCAATGTAAATGGGATTGCAAGTGGTGCTGGTGGATGAGTTGCCGATGGAATTCCATTGTGATTTGCAACTCTAGGATCGTTCCCTCACTGCAAATGGGATTGCAAGTGGTGCTGGTGGAGGAGTTGCCGATGGAGTTTTGAAGGAAGTCTCGCACGAAATGCGTTGTTGAGAGATAGCAGATGCACGAAACCCTATGTTTTTCCATACAAAGTCCGTCCCCGAACCTCGATGATCTACCTCTGCGGTGCGACGGTTGCGAGACGGTCTCGTGTGTGGTCGGATCATTCTCGGATCATTCTCGGATCGGTTCCGCATTGTAAATGGGGTTTCACCTGTGTTTCGTGCATGTGTGGTCGACAGAATTCCATTGTGATTTGCAACTGTAGGATCGTTCCCGCATTGTAAATGGGGTTGCAAGTGGTGCTGGTGGATGAGTTGCTGATGGAATTCCATTGTGAGTTGCAACTCTAGGATCGTTCCCTCACTGTAAATGGGATTGCAAGTGGTGCTGGTGGAGGAGTTGCCGATGGAGTTTTGAAGGAAGTCTCGCACGAAATGCGTTTTTGAGAGATAGCAGATGCACGAACCCCTATGTTTTTCCATACAAAGTCCGTCCCCGAACCTCGATGATCTACCTCTGCGGTGCGACGGGTGCGAGACGGTCTCGTGTGTGGTCGGATCATGGTCGGATATTCTCGGATCATGTTCGGATCGGTTCCGCATTGTAAATGGGGTTTCACCTGTTTTTCGTGCATGTGCGGTCGACAGAATTCCATTGTGATTTGCAACTGTAGGATCGTTCCCGCAATGTAAATGGGATTGCAAGTGGTGCTGGTGGATGAGTTGCCGATGGAATTCCCATTGTGATTTGCAACTCTAGGATCGTTCCCTCACTGTAAATGGGATTGCAAGTGGTGCTGGTGGAGGAGTTGCCGATGGAGTTTTGAAGGAAGTCTCGCACGAAATGCGTTTTTGAGAGATAGCAGCTGCACGAAACCGTATGTTTTGCCGGACAAAGTGCGTCCCCGAACGTCGATGATCTACCTCTGCGGTGCGACGGGTGCGAGACGGTCTCGTGTGTGGTCGGATCATTCTCGGATCATTCTCGGATCGGTTCCGCATTGTAAATGGGGTGTCACGTTTGTTTCGTGCATTTGCGGTCGACAGAATTCCATTGTGATTTGCAACTCTAGGATCGTTCCCTCGATTGCAAGTGGTGCTGGTGGAGGAGGGGTCAACTCTCGTTTGACTGCCGAGGGCTGGGTGCGCGTTGTTATGAACCGCATCCGAGTCTGAATTGCTGTGCTTCAGTAGCTTCGCCTTTCATTTCGAGTTGCAGACGGCAGAATGCCTGTGTTACTTAATTTTCGTTTCTGTGTGCGTTGTTACGAACCGCACAAGAAACCATGATCGTATTGCATACATGTGACAAAAAAAAGGATCTTTCAGATTTTGGCTGCTTTCATTTTCTATTTAAAATCAACTTTTTCTGCTCTGGCGTTGGAGCTACAATTTCCGACGCCGTTGCGCGTAGTTCTATTGTGTTTTGCAACTCAGTCTCTGCAAATCGCATTGTAATGGCTGCGTCAAGGTTGCGTAGTACTGTGGCTGCATTTGTCATACTATTGTCTTTTGCAGCTGGATCTCGGAAATCGTCTTGGAGTGGCTGCATGAAGGCTGCGAAATGGATTTGTTAGCAGATTTTCTCCATTTTGGCACTAGTGTTTTTTTGTTGCACGTAGGTTTAGAGCAGTGTGAAGTGTGGGGCGTAAAGAGTGCAGTGTGAAGTGTGAAGTGTGAAGGAAGCAGTGGGAAGTGAGAAGTGCGAAGTGTGGAGTGTGAAGTTTAAGTTTGGAGTGCGAAGAGCGCAGTGTGAAGTGTGAAGTGTGAAGTTTAAGTTTGGAGTGCGAAGAGCGCAGTGTGAAGTGTGAAGTGTGAAGTGTGAGGTTTGGAGTGTGAAGGAAGCAGTGAGAAGTGAGAAGTGTGAAATGTGGAGTGTGAAGTGTGGAGTGTGAAGTTTCAGTTTGGAGTGCGAAGAGCGCAGTGTGAAGTGTGAAGTGTGAAGTGTGTTTGGAGTATGAAGGAAGCAGTGAGAAGTGAGAAGTGTGAAATGTGGAGTGTGAAGTGTGGAGTGTGAAGTTTCAGTTTGGAGTGCGAAGAGCGCAGTGTGAAGTGTGAAGTGTAAAGTGTGAGGTTTGGAGTGTGAAGGAAGCAGTGAGAAGTGAGAAGTGTGAAGTGTGAAGTGTGAAGTGTGGAGTGTGAAGTGTGGAGTGTGAAGTTCAGTTTGGAGTGCGAAGAGCGCAGTGTGAAGTGTGAAGTGTGAAGTGTGAGGTTTGGAGTGTGAAGGAAGCAGTGAGAAGTGAGAAGTGTGAAGTGTGAAGTGTGAAGTGTGGAGTGTGAAGTTTGAAGTTTGGAGTGCGAAGAGCGCAGTGTGAAGTGTGGAGTGTGAGGTTTGGAGTGTGAAGGAAGCAGTGAGAAGTGAGAAGTGTGAAGTGTGAAGTGTGGAGTGTGAAGTGTGGAGTGTGAAGTTTCAGTTTGGAGTGCGAAGAGCGCAGTGTGAAGTGTGAAGTGTGAAGTGTGAGGTTTGGAGTGTGAAGGAAGCAGTGAGAAGTGAAAAGTGAGAAGTGTGAAGTGTGGAGTGTGAAGTTTGAAGTTTGGAGTGCGACGAGTGCAGTGTGAAGTGTGGAGTGTGGAGTGTGAAGACTTTGCTTCGTCTCTCGCTGAAAAATCAAATGGTTGTCGAGGGAAGGACACGGTCGGGACAGGGTGTCTTTGAACTATAGGTCATTTATGTTTGGGAAACTTCCGCCGCCGGCTTGCCCGGGTCTATGTGATATGAAAGTTCATAGTGGTTAAGTAATTATTAATCTTATTCATCTTATTCAGTACTTGCTTTAGATTGGTTGAGTCAGGGCTGAAACGTGTTGCGGTTTTTTCATGTCAACCATTGGGGGAATCACTGCCAGCTCGTAACGGTCTTGAAGGGGGACGAAGACGAAAAACATGTGGATATTCCCAGCAAGATATCAAACATATGGTGTCCATATGGTTGATAGGTCCTATAGGTGACATCCTTTTGAAGCTTGAATGGTGCTGAAGTGTCACACGATCCATATCTGGCATGCACTGTTTATGAAGATTGAAGGATGGTTGCAGAACATTTCAAGTGGCAGCTGCTTATCCTGTTCCTGCTCTATGTGTATATTACACAGCATATCTATATACGGTTCAGGGCTCCTGTTGGGCGGTTATATATATATATACGCAGTATTAGTGAACATCTATTTCGACTGACACCACAGGCCAGTTTCCGCAGTTTCAGCGTTCCCGTTCGCCGCCGGTCACATCGATTCACCGCAGGCGTGAGGGAAGATCTTCTCTTGACCGCCTTAGAAGAGGGGTCTGGAACCCAGCGCTGGTGGAGATGGCTTGGACTTACCCCAGACATCAAACATCTATGGTTTGATGGTTTCCCAATTCCATCCCCCGAAAAAAATTACGCGTCCCCCTAGGTTGTCCCTGAAATATGTGTAAATCCATCATTTTTTTTTGGGAGACTGTTCTAAATATGCATGTGGAATGGCTTAAAATACTTGGTGAACAACAGACTTTGTTGTGGCCCCGTTGGTTACTCAATGCTCCACCGAGCTGCACCGTCCCAGTTTTGTGCCGGTGGTGGCCACAGTGGCTGCAGATGACGAGGGAAACTTCCTGAACGCCGCGTGGCAGGGTGGAGCCGGACATCACAATGGGACGCTGGGAGTGGGTTCCACCATGGGTTAAGAGTGGTGGATAGTGGCTTAATAGTGGCTGAATAGTGGTTGATAATGGTTGAGATTAGAAATATTGGTTAATGATTGAAGTAGATTGAAGTAATGAAAGTAACACACATTTCTTTCAACTGGATGGTAAAGTTTCCCCATGCACCTGTTTTTGTTTGGTTGCACGGCGTTTCCCGTTTGTTGCAGTCTGCAACCCAAGCATGTCCCAAGGATGTGGGTGAGCCATGAACACAGCTGCCCGATTACTTGGGCTTTTGGGACACCCAACTCTTGCTGGGACAAGAATTTGACTCATCGGATTTCCCAACTCTCGTTGGTTGCAACAAATCCAGCAAATTTCGTGTCGAATCTTCCATTCAAACTGTGTTTTCCATGGGTTTTCTGTGGGTTTTTTCCTGTGTTTTCCACTGTTTCTCTGCCACACTGCCAGCACTGCGCAGCTGCCAAGGTGAATGCAGACATTGCGGCGGCGGCCATTGCCCGAGCGTTGGAGGCAGATGAGTTCGCCCCCTGGCAGTTTCAGAGACGTCCCGGTAGGGGGACGAACCAGGATTTCAGGTTGGTTACATGGGAGTTCATGGGATTTCATGGGTTTTAATGGAATTTCATGGTGCGAAACCGCTGCTAAACGTCAATGGGGGAATGATCCAATCCACAACTATTTCCACAATCGGCCCATTAGCATCAGGAAGTGTCAGGCTGGTTTCATCCAACTGGGTTGATTCAGAGAATGGCTTGAAGGGACAATTCCCATACTGCCATACTATATATCTGCTGCTGCATCGCAGGTGAAGGTCATGGTTTCCTGGTTCCTTTGAGCCAATCCATTGGTTTATTTCGGCAACCAACAGATCACAGTATAGCCATCAACGAACTGGGGCAGGCCTTGAGGAGCAAATCTATCACTAGATCATCGAACCATGCTGATAGATTAGCAATTGGTAAAGAACAAAAGTTCTGTTCCAGGTGCAACAAAATGCAAAGGATGACCCCAAGTTGGGGGACTTGACTCGCCAGGGTTGTTGGCCACGTCTGAAATCAGATGCACATTCAAGCATGGCTTTCCTGTTTTCGCTGGACGTTTTCTGGTTATCAAACATGGCTTGCTGGAAGATTCCCTGTTTAGTTCGATGATCTTCCCAGCTTTCAACAATTATGGGGGAGTTTCCCATTAAAACATATTAACACCTCCATTTATGGATCATTTCCGACATACTTTTCCATGAAGACCTCCAAGTTTGGGGAATGTCCCAGGTGCTGATGACGGACGTGCCGGGCATCTTGCGCGACGTCAAGGAGTGGCCATCACAAGTTGTTTCAATCCGAAGTCATGGTCATTAGTCACATTAGTCATTCATGACGACTGGATGATGACTTTTGGTACACCCATGACTTAGGACAGTACTATAATGTACTATGGCATATGCGGCATATGGTCTTACATCATGAGAGATGGTTGGACCGGATTCCAACCGGACCGGCAGCCGTAAGAGGCCGCTTAGCCTCAAAGATCGACCATCTTTGACTCAAAAGACAAAAAATCATCAGGCATCATTTAAGCATCATGAAATATCAGCAAACATCAAATCGTCATAACATATCATCAATCAACATCAATCACACTCAATGAACATAAATCATCATAAATCATCATCAATCAACGTGAATCATCATCAATCATCATGAAATATTATTCTCTGGTAAACAAACATAACTATAGAAAATCACAATTTTTGATGGGTAAATCAACTATTTCTATGGCAATTTTCAATAGCAAACTGTTGGTCATTACCAGAGGGTAATCCCATAAATATCCCATCAATATCACATCGAAAAAAACAGTCATATCCCATCAATATCCCAGAAACCCACTGCATCTTGGTGACATCTGATTCTACCAGGACCCCGGATCTCTGATCTCAGAGGTGGACGAGACAGGTGCCGAACAGCCTCTTGGATCACCGGGACAGAAGGCGATTCGCGCCTGGGGATGTTGGTCATGCTATTTGGAATAGATCAACATAGATCAACCAAGCAAACATGGGGGCAATTAAGCAACTTATATAACTTCTGCAGAATTGAGATTTTGACCATAAAAAACAGTGAATGGTTTACCTGGCCATCCTAGAAAATGGGGATGGCCCCAAATTTGGGGCTGCAAGCATTTCAAACAATTGGGGCGACATCCGTAAAATGGGATGGACTGCCACAAACAAGTGACACGGAGATCTGTGGTTCAGACCGGGTCTTGACTTGGAACCATTGAAAGTGGCAATCCATCTCCTCCGTAAGAAAAATCGGCACGGAACCGGGTCATTTGGGGTGAAATTATGGAACGTGGACGTCCGCTGTTGGCGCAACGTCCGCTACATCTTCAGTTTTGGAACATCAATTGACCAAAGTATACACACCAATCTGTGCTTGGGGGTCCGCCGAGGCTGATCGAGGAAGGCGTAGTGGCGGGGAACCCAGCGACTGAACGCTCGCACCTGAACTCCCTAGGGCCCTGGCATCCGTGATCCGAGGCGGGTGGAATGATTCCCAAAGTGACCTGTTGCTTAAGGGCCATCAAGGATGGTGCCTTGGACCCAAAATCGGCGTTGAGGGGTCAGCTGAAGTTTGGCTCCTGGGGTTGGCCTGCTTCCAACTTGAGGGCCGATCATAGAACATTAAATTTTGTATATATATATATACATATGTATATATACACACACACATCGTTTTTGTATCCCAACAGGGGTACCCGTATCTCGTCTCTCCATGAATCATTCTATATCCCACGTTGGCTCCTCAAATGCCTACATAGTAAAATCATGTAAAAACATTTTTTTGTTGCCCACATGCCCATTTACTTTTGGTTCTTTTGCTAAAGGCTTAGCCACACAAAGGAAGTTTTTTCCCGAATGCGTAGCAAGGGTTCCCGTTTCCGTCTGGGGGTCTGGGGGTTGAGGGTGTGTTCGCTCGACGTTGCGTTTACGTCCGCAACCGTCCGGAACCGTTCGCAACCGTTCGCAACCGTTCGCAACCGTCCGCAACCGTCCGTGGGAGTGTCTATGGTAAGTTCTGCAGAAGGGGTCATTTTTGGAGGTTTCACATGTGGCGTTGCTTCGTTTCGCGTGGCAGGCGTGGCACTTCGTGACATTCAGACGTGTTTTGTAACGTGTCGAATGTTGTTTTGTGTGGCAGGCGCAATACTTGAGCGACGTTTTCAGAAGATGCGTTGCAGTCTTCGTGGCAGGCGCAGCACTTTGGACGTGTCCAACGTCATTTTTCGTGGCAGGCGCAGCATTTTAGACGTGTGGTGTTGCGTGTTTTTTGCGAATCGCATTGGCAGGGCTGCGTCAAGTGGCGACAAGGTGCAGATTCCGTGGTAGGCGTGGCATTTTGTGAGATGTGCTGAAAATTGACGGAAGCCTCGCACGAAACATCGATTTTGGGATAGCAAATTTTCAGGTTCCTGAGAAAACTCGTAGGAAAACGTTGATTTTGATGCTACAAAGTGTCAAAATTGGAGGAAGTCTCGCACCAAATGCTCGTTTTGGTGCTCCCACGTGTCTCGTCTCGAGTCTCTGCTTTTCCTGTGGCGTCGCCGTGTCTATTGGGGAAGCTGCAAAACCTCTCCTTTTCGAAGGTTTCCAAGCAGGTTGTCATGTCGTTTTGCGTGGCAAGCGTGGCACTTTCTAACATTACAACCTGTTTGACGTGTCGAAAGTGTCAAAATTGGAGGAAGTCTCGCACGAAATGCTCGTTTTTCTGCGCCCACGTGTCTCGTCTCGAGTCTCTGGTTTTCCTGTGGCGTCGCCGTGTCTATTGGGGAAGCTGCAAAACCTCTCCTTTTCGAAGGTTTCCAAGCAGGTTGTCATGTCGTTTTGCGTGGCAGGCGTGGCACTTTGTGACATTCCAACCTGTTTTATACCGTGCGTGCACTCCACACTTTACACTCTACACTTTACACTCCACACTCTACACTCCACACTCTACACTCCACACTCTACACTCCACCACACTCTACACTTTACGCACTCTACACTTTACACACTCCTCACTCCTCACTCCACACTTTACACTCCACACTCCTCACTTTACACTCCACACTCCACACTCTACACTTTACACTCCACACTTTACACTTTGCACTTTACACTCCTCACTCCACACTACACTCCGCACTCCACACTTTACACTCCACACTTCACACTCTACACTTTACACTCTACACTTTACACTCTACACTCCACATGGAGTCCACACTCCACACGCTACACTTTACACACACTACACTCCCCACTCCACACTTTACACTCCACACTCCTTACTTTACACTCCACACTCCACACTCTACACTTTCCACTCCACACTCCACACTTTCCACTCCACACTGCAGACTGGTAACAGGGGAAATATGTGCAAGGCATTGCAAGACTGTTCAAATAAACTATTGCAGAAAAGTGTTCTGCGTGACTGCATGTCCGTGTGTTTCGACATGTCTCGACATCTGTACCATTAACATACGTGTGAGCATTCGGGTTCGTTGGCTGCATCTGGTTTTTTCTTTTAAACTTTTCAAGCACCCACCAAAAGGAACTTTTTAAGTCCTTATAGTAACTGAAATCATCATTTTTCAGTAGTTCAATCTCCCCATTTTCTCTTGGAAAAATCCTGTAATGTTAGTAAAACAATCATGAACGATGCCAACATTTACCATTCTTATGAATTCTTATGGTTGCGATAAGTCTACCATCAATCCATGGTGGTGTTACGATTGCTTTTACCAACATTAGGCTTTAAACTTAAGGGATATAGAAAACTATTTAATTAATATGATATCAATATAGTTTTCATACATATATATATATATACATATTAACCATTTTTTTGAGAAACCATCTTTTTGAATAATATTTTCACAATTTTAACATAGGCTTTTACACAAAATGGGAGGAGAAACCATGGATTTTTTGGGATTCACCAAGGTGTACAGGCCACACACATCATCGATGGCCGCCGGCCGCATGCCATCCTGGAGGTTTGTCGAATGGGGCGGGGGCGATGGCCGATGTGGGGAAAATATGGGGAAAATTGGCCTAGAAAAATTCGATCAATGATGTTTGATGGGTGGATTAGATCAAAGATTAGATCAATATTTGATCACATATGTTGGGTGGATATGATTTTGATGAATTTCTGGGGTTCTTGTGATAGATTTGTCTCAGAATTGCTGGAGGGCCATACCAGATCCACACTTTGGTGGTGAAGTTTTGCAGAGTAGTATCCCCATTTGCCAATGTGATTTTCCCAATCCTACGCAAGTGATTTTCAAACACGTATCACATATGGTTTTGGCACCAGAAACGTGCTCCACAGGAGCTGTTCTCTACTGGCAGCGACAAACAGGGCACCACCATCCGACCCTTGGCCCATAGCTGGAGTGCTTTCTGCTTCAGGGTTTGGCATTTCTCCATATGGGTATGTCCAGCATACCTCGGTTTACCGGTATACATGTGACATTCTGCGATCTTCATGGGGGGAATGATGACACACCGAAATTGATTTTGGTGTACCCTCTGGTAAGCTAACATAACTATGGAAAATCACCATTTTTAATGGGTAAATCAACTATAAATGGCAATTTTCAATAGCTATGTTAAATTACCAGAGGGTACCTTATCTTTGGACTAGCCCATATTCAGTCACGACTGGAAATGGCCATTTCGGAAAGATCAGCGCATCCACCCAATCTTCGCAGCACTGGAGGTAGGAGCTGACATCCGGCGCGGATTCTGACGCGTAGATCGAAAGCTTGGATGGAAGAAACCTGCACAACTGTGGATGATGTGTGTATAAGCGTAAAGATTCTGATGGAACGACATAGAAACATAGAAACGTGAACTTCAATAAATGATAACAAATGCAATTCCAGAATCCTTCTTAATTTGAATCATATTGAATCCATTTGAATGAGACAGTTTAGGACCATATTTTTTAGACCTGAGTGAGGCCAGCCAGTTGTCTGCATCATTTGTGTCCGTTTGATATCATGGCTCCGCATCTCATCCGTTGGATCTGTGTTTTGACTTCGATTCAAAAGGTTGCTGGGCCCTCTTCCACACCCAACCCGGGGGACCCATGGCTTTCTTCAGCTTACGATGGAGTCGTAAGCTGGCTCCGGCAGCTGGGTGAAATTGAGCCAGAAATCGACGAACCGTTCGGTGGTTGGTGGTTCGAAGTTTTTTTTTGAACTTTCATCCCTTGCCTTGGATGATTCCCAATGGATAGGATTTTTTGAAGGCGGTGGCTCCATGTGCCGCAACGAAAAGAGCCCTATGGAGAGGCGAATTTCACCCAATTTTGACCAGCTTTGCCTCAGCCTTGAGTGCAATTCTGGGATCCGTGGTGGCCGTTGCTGCGACTTGCAAGTCGAGGATATGCTGGTCCAGACCCTTGAAAAGCAGCAGGCCATCAACAAAAACAATGACCCTGCGGCATCTTATCCGCACAGCAGGTGCATACACGAGGTATATTCGCAATAATCGTTGTTTGTGTTTTCATACACACCGATTGATGTGGATTCGCCAGACTGTTGGGCTGTCCACCTCAAAAGCTTATTTTGTGCCATTGGTGCGTGACCTGTGCAATTTTAGCAGCAACTTCCACAATATCAGTACCTAGGCGACAGAGAATTGCATCGATTCAATCCAATCTGGGGATGCTGTGACTTATTTCAGGAAAATTACCTCAGGTTTCAGATTTTGGTGGGAGTAAACCGCCCAATTTGGAGCTCCTGTACATGTGACCTACAGAAAATCATCTCCACAAGGGTCCATGTCAGTCTTGACTCGTCTGAGCAAGCCTCGTCAGAATGGATTTCCTGCTACATTTTCAAGGGGGTTATTTGAAGAAAATTTGGAGCTGCTACAGCCACGATGTTCCAATAGCTGCTGCAGAGTTGAAAATTCGAAGTGTTCGCTGCACTTGTGACCTCCGTGGAAAGAAGGGGACGAACCCAGTAACCAAAATCGCTGGGAGTTATGAGAGCTTCATCCCCCAACAGTGATGGATGCCGGTGCGGATCTCAACGGTGTACTCCGTTCGGGGGTCCGTGCTAAGCCTCTGATGGGATCAGAGAAATCCCCAACTCTACGATTTTATCGACATCTCAGCCTGTCAACTTTTCCAAGTTCAAGAATTCCCAAGTCGACATGATTTTCTGACACCCAAGAATCAAGAACGTCTTAAGATTTCCCATACACACCATGTAAAGCCCCAAATCCCAGAGAGCTCCCGGCAGTTTTCCGTCCTGCATCGCAGTCCTACGGTGCTGGAAAGCTGATGGAAGAGCTGCAGAAGGTACCACTGACTCCAGCGATTTTCTGTGGGGGGAGGACCTATACAGAACATTTGGGTATGATGATGATGATGGTGATGATGATGATGATGATGATGGTGATGATGATGATGATCCTGATCCATTCAGAAATCAGATCCATTGCGAATTCAGAGGAACATACCAATTTTGTAGATCCTTTTCGTCAACCGGAGAAATTTTCAGGGATTGTCCACATCTTCCTAAGTTTGGAGAGTAAACTATCCATGATTTTTGAGGCTTCCCAGAGATTTGGGATCCCCGGAGGTTTCCACGTTGATTCACATGGTTTCACCACTCTGGACCTCAGCGGACTGATGGTGGGTAGGCAGCCATAATTTGCCCAGATTCCAGTCTGGTTACATGATCTTGGTGAAGTCAAATCCCAGATTCCTAGGGATATCCCAGCACTGACGGAAGATGTTTGCTGAAGCATCCAAGATTTCTGGGTACAGGTGAAGCGCAGTTGGAATGACGAACGCCTGGATCTTTTTCTGCTGAAAATTCGAGGGCATGGTGTATGACGTTCTTGCTTGGAGCATCATCCCACTACATAATCGTAAGTCAGTAACCTTGGTTGCCAAGTCTCCATTCAGTGGGTTATTCCATTCATAAATGGGTTATAAAATGTAATAATATGGTTATTAACAATCCACTTACCAAATGGGATGATCCTCCAAGTGGGAATGGTCCATTCTTAGTTGTGAAAGCGACTTTTTCAGTTCAGTTCCTGATTATGGTATGAACCTTGCCCTTTTCTCGGAGCATTTGTTGAAGGCGAAATTCACAGGACGGTCCATCAATTTCGGGGAGTACAAAAGTTGTTCTCCTGCCGAAGTTTTCCCAACAAATCAAGGCTTTCCCAACTAAATCTGAAAATCACCGAACACATTTTTTTGGAGTGGACAACAGCCATCCCCGCCATGAAAAAACCTGGTGATTTCACAACTTTGCGCGCGGGCGAAACCGCACACATGTTTGCAGCTGAAATCCACATATTTTTCTCCGATGGAATTCCGATGAATCCATTCCATAGCTGAAAAAATCCCATGGGATTCCACATGATTCCAGCAACATTGAGATCCATTTTTCATCATTTTTCACCATGTTTTCCCCATTTTTCCATGGGATTTCACCATGTTTTTCCCATGGAAAAAAAATGCCACATTTTTCCATGGTGAAAAACCACCGAGGCGACCAGCTCCGCGCCGAGTCGGAGGCCTTGAAGCGGCAAGCGCTGAAGCTCCAAACGGAGCAGGTGCAGCGGGTCGGTCGGAGATTTTCAGCACCAAAAATGGTGGATTTCATGGGAGTTAGCCTCTGGTAAACATACAAAAAACGATTGCGAACTGGAAAATTGCCATAGAAATAGTTGAATTAGCCATGAAAAATGGTGATTTTTGATAGTTACAGGAAAGATGTTAGTTTACCGGAGGGAAAGTGACTTTTTGGCAAGAAGAATCAAGAAGAATGATGATTTCATGGGGAATCTGATGAAATATCCAGGAAAAAATGGTGATTCGATCTTGAATCGATGGCATGAAAATCGGTGATTGGACAATAGCCAACCTTTAGTGGAAAGTAGTCTTCCAAACCCTGACAACCCTGCCAGGGTCGTCATTTTATTTTCGGGGAGGGTAATAAACGAATCCGGATTGCAACAAAAATGGGGTAGGTCTTATTCATTATTTTTTTGAGATTTAAGCACTAGAAAGTGGTGATTTAAGCAACAAATTGTGATGAAAGGGGACTTCAAGAAGATTTTATGATATAAGTCACGTGCACGGATTTTGAGCAGGCAAATTGCAGCAGAAAATATGTATACATACATAATCATACCACAAAGCTATATATATATAATATATAATATATAATATATAATATATAATATATATATATATATTATAATATACTATATATAATATGTATAATATTATATATATAATAATATATATATATATAATAATTATATTATATAATATGTATGCAATGTATACTATACAGTATATATATATATATATACGTATATGATATATGAATAATGAGCTATGCATACATAGCAGACTCACAAAGACATAAAGATCGTCTTGGAGAAGCAGGTGGCCATCCCTTCAGCCTTGGCAGGCGCCGCGGCGCCTGGTGGTTTTTCCCCCAAGGTTAGCAGTTGGAAATGGGGAGATATGCAGTTTTTATGGGGATTTTGATGTATGGAAATGGGGATTTTATGGGAAATATGCAGATTTTATGGGAATTTTATGGCTTTATGAGTCTAAGTGGAATGTGATGTGATTGATTTTGTGCCTGATAGTAACCCATCCCCAAGGCTTTGCCACTGGGTGGATTGCTAAGTCATCCCTGGCAGGTTTGTGGCATTGCGTCCACCACACAGAATTCAGATCCGCTACGATATTCTGGTGCAAGTTTCTGTGAATCTCCAAACAATTATCCCATTAGAATGAACCCTATATCCCATTATAGTGGGATATATATATATAACATATATATATAACATATATATATATATAACATATATATATATATAACATATATATATATAACATATATATATAACATATATATATATGATGATGAACCCTATATCCCAAACAAGTATCCCAATTAATGGCATGGCGATTCAATGAACCCTATATCCCATGATATTCCCACTTCAATGGGCTCATTGAATCCCCATTCTACTATCGCTACTCACATTTGGTCATGGCGAGCTCTCCGGGCTAAAGGTGGGTCCCATCGACTCTCAACAAGTATCTGCCGTTGGGTGAGATCCACCCATCATTTTGCTCGGTAGGATCCCAGTTTTTGCTTGTCAAAAAACAGCGTTTTGGTGTGGGGCATTTCAGTTTGTCGTAAGTCCCGAGTATTTGTTGCTTCAATCGAACTTTTTGCTACTTATCTCCCAATTTTATTGGATGAATTGAACCCTTCCTGGGTAAATCCCAGTTCTTCCTTGGTGAATCTGCCAACTTTTGTTGGTTGAATCCCCAGTTTTGTATATTCTTGTTGCTAAACATACCCAGAAGATCCCAGAAGATCCTCTCGACTCATTTTGCCTCTGTTTGGATTATCACTACAAACTGGTGGGCAAAATGAACCATATTTTAGTTTCAGGGATACTTATATATATATATTTATATCATATATAACTCCACATTCTTGTTGTATTTCAGTCCTAACTTAGATGGTTCAAGCACCATTTGTTGCTGGTAAATTTCAGTTTTGGCGGGCGAAGTCCCAGCTTTTTGTCTGCAGGTGGAGCCTTTCCGCCCAAGGTGGACATCTTTTCGCCCCTGCGCACGGCCGCTGGGCAGTGAACGATGAAAAAATTGGGATCCTTTTTTTTGGAGGTTAATCTTAAAAACTTATGGGATATTAACTATCAAA